GTTTGCCCTTTGTCAAACAAAGCTCCAGTAACAGATGGATATGTCCTGAATGGTCTGCCATACCGCCGCTAACTTTCTCCACAATCTGCATTGTTCGGTCCTAACTAACTATCTCTGATTCTACTGAAAGAGGATAAGTGAGATCTTGCCTCAGAGAAAGACTATCCATTCATCTGATTCCTTTCCATGAGATTTTTTCCGCAAGTTGGATTGATGATGTGATCATGCGTGTTGGGAGAAGGAAAGGAACCTCGGATAGGATAATCTCAAAAAGGGATAGGAATGAGATAGTGAAAAAAATATGGAGAGTTACTACGACAGTAAAAAGATAAGTGAATTATTATTCACTACCTGAAGCGAAAGGGCAACAACCCGAACAATTATTTAAGGATAGAAGTCAGTCAAAAGACACAGAGTCTAGAAGGAACTTTCTAGATCTCAGTTAGGAAGAGAGATATTAAATTTCTCTTGGACTGTRTTGTGTCTACAGGTTTCGACACTTCGGAGAACTTACGGGGGAATCCGTAAGAACAACAATTTTGTTAGCTCTGGATAACAGGTCGGTACTCCGACTCAACTTCCACCCATGGCTTGACACCCACACCTAAGACAAGACCTAAGAAGGGAACAGATAAATCTTCCCCCTGTATCTATGCCTAAATTGTCCAAATCACACTCAGGAGTCTTCAAAATGTGTGGGGCTGGGRTAAAATGGAGTCAGGGTTAGGAAGGAATGTTGTTTTCAAGGGTTTGGGGCGTGAGTGACATGCTATGAATGGATTAAAGGTTGACGCTTGTAGCGCATTTTGTGTCTGCATCTGTATATGTGTACGTGATGTCTTGCATTTGCACAGGTGTTGGACATTTGTGCTGTCTTCTGAGTTTGGGATCGTCTGAGAAATTCGGGCAAAGGGGCACGACAATCGTGAAAGTGAGGTCCACCGCTCAGTCAGCTCCCCTGATTTACATATATACATATATATATATATATATATACTTGTGAATGAGATAGTAGGTTGGTCGATATCTAGGAATTCATTTGTCTGGGACTTCTTTTGGGAAGAATGAGAGATTACTAAGGGCTTTACTCTGACATTTTCATAAGGTCAACAAAGGGGACATAGAGTCATTGTCATAGTTAGCTAAGAGTGGAAGAATGTCCGAGAAGTCGACCTGATTAGATAGTCGGTCCGGAGAGTTAGCACCTCGGGGCTCGACATACGGGTCAGTCTTAAGGCGTTCTACCGCGCGTATGCCTATGCTACGACGATCGAGAAAACGCCCTCAGCTGGCCGACCTCTGCGATTGCATGTAAAAACCTTCGTATGTGGGTCAGTAGCTCAGCACGGATACGCCCACCTAAGGGATGGTGACAGCTTCCGCAGGTGGAGGTATGTTGTACCTTCGGGGATCCCTAACCTGTCGTAGGGAGTCGTGAGAGGTATAGCACGCGCGCACGGTCGGAGTTGGTATTTCGTTAAAGAGACAAAGAAACTCCTGCGTGACACGACCGTGAGGTCCAACACCAAAAACTTACTTCGCGTCTGGGTGTGGGACCGCCGCGCGCGACAGGTGGCGCCGTTGCCGGGGATCTCATTTTAAGCCGAGGTCCTTAGTGAACGAACTTGGGTAAAGCAAGATCCAGGCAGAACGACAATTATTAAAAAGTCGGTAATTAACTAAGACTCTAAGTAGAATAAGGAACCTTTGATATCTGGTGACGAGTAATTGCTCCAACTAAATCAGTGAGTAAATAAGAGTTGGCAAATATGGCACCTAAGGGCCGTGGGACCGGAACTGGTAGAGGAAGAGGCGGCAGACAAGGAAAGGCGTCTGAAAGGTCTGTGAACTTGACCAGTGAAAGGGGAGATTAGAATGAAGATGATGAGGAGAAAGATGAAGGATTGAGGGCAAGAAGGTATAGGGAGGAGAGGCGCATGCATACCCCAGACCCTGACGAAATGGCTTATTATTCATATAGGTATGCAAGGCGTTATGGAGAATCTCCACCACGCTTCAGGACGCCTAGTCGCCCGCATCCTAGCCCTTATCCACTATCTCAAGAACGACAGTTGGCTATCCTTTCCCCGCCTCACTAACAGGGGCTCCGCGGGGCACCAAGCGTGCCTGATCCTCCTGTAGTTGTGCTGTCTGCGTCTCCTGATAGGAGGATGTGCATATCGCTTTTAATATTTCTACTATGTCAAATAGAGATATGTGGGTTAATAACATACTTGCTGTACAAAAATATTATATAAAGGTTCAAAAGGATCGAAGGAGATGATGAGATAGAAAGGGGAATTAGTCAGATCTTGGGATTATAAGTCTACTAGCTAAAATAAAAGAGATGTGGGCTGGATTGTGTTGTGTAGTAGGTGGATTGTGCCGACGAGAAAAAAAATAGCTTCTGCCCGATATCAAATCACGATCAGAGAGCCCGTGCAAATGAGGCGTGGCCTGATGATGAATCTGCCAAGTCGTCATGAGGAGAACGAAGAAACGGGGTATTGTTGGGGGATTTCTGTAGAGGAACAAATTTTCATTTGGATCGAATCTCGATGGGTTTGAGGCGAAAATCGCGCAGTAGAAAGGGTATCATTTAGTCTTAAGAACTGATCGATCTCTTTCCAGACTATTGTGGATAGTAGAATCCGCGCTCGAGTCTAGGAAAAGAGATGCAAGTTTGAATGGGTTTGAAGGAATGATAGGAACTGTGAGGGTGGGAAAGGCTAACGATTTCTTCCGCCAGTAGCATATCTAAGAGGGACCCTTCCTATGTTCATCATAGATGCAACCTTCGGAGGGAGGACCCGAGTGGAAAGGGTTGCGGAAGTCGCAATGGCAATACCTGAGAAAGAATATCACGCATCTACCCTTCTGTTGGTATACTACATATACCTAGAGATAGGGCACTTGATTGAAGGAAGGGATCCTCAAAACGTACTATCAAGGGTCGACTCCTATGCACGTCAGCACGATTGGGGAAATAGGCATGTCTACTGGGAGGAACTGAAGCAAGGGATCCTCTATCAGATAGGAAGGGGTGCTAAAGAAAGATTGGGATAGAAGAGTGTTAAGAAATGGGAAGATTGAGTAGTTACTAAGAAGAGAAAGGTTCTTTCTTTGACTGTTGTAACAGGTATACCATAATGACTCCTTTAATGTGGTTCGCTGATCGGAGCTTCCTGATTAACCTGCCAGAGCCAAGGGAAGGCGGAGTCAAAACGACACTACCGAAGAGGACGATAGATATGGATGAGGAAATGGATTCATGGTGCGGGATACCGATAGGACAAGAAGCCTTCCTCTGGATAGAAACTTGGTGAACCACAAAGGAAAGGCAGACAATAGTGAAAGTGACCCTTTATCTTCCAACCCTTCTCTGGAGGGCACACGCGATCGATCTTGCGATAGGAGAAAGCCGCCCCGTCTCTAAGTACATATTGATAGCCGAAATGGCCCTTGACGCGTTTTCAAGAAGGATGTATTGGGGAGAAGAAGGGGAAGTTATAAAATCAATCGAAGTGAAGTGGACCGCTGAGTTCGTATATCCAACAAGGTACGTTAGAGCCACGCTTCCGAGCTTCATAATTGATGAAGCATTTTGGGGGATTGAGAATGTAGAACGAGCAGTACTCGCAGCTTGATCAGTTCAAGATATGAGTTTCGAGTTTGAAGCGTCGGAGGTTGTTTACCGTCTGTACTTAAAAATGAGACCGAAACTAAAGAATAGGGATTTTTATAACGTACTATGCGTGGTAAACACGTACCTACGCATCTATCATTTGGAAGACCTCTCGACCTACTGGCGCAATCTCTGTCGGGATGCATGTATTAAAGAATTTATAGATGAAATCCCTTCGTTATTTAGTATGGTTAGAAGCTTTTGGCACGGGGACTGGGTGCTCCTAGAAGAGATACTCGGTTGAGAGAAAAAAAAAAAAGAAAAAAAAAAAGGTATGAAAAGTCATATAGGATAAAAACAAGTCACAAAGGTTAAAAATGCGTCAAGATAGTGACAAAGAGGGTGGATCAATGGTCGTTCTGTGTGTTGTCTACGGTCTAGCAAGAGCCAAGGAAGAAAAAGGGAAAAGATGAGCGATGACAGCGCCAATGGAGGGCCGCCAATCACCGCGGCGGAAATCGTCAAGTTACTAGAAAAAAAGACGATAAAAAGGTTTAACCTACCAAGGATAGACATATTTCATTTCAAAGGGGATAGGGTCACTCATTGGTTATAACTGCTTGAGCAAATCTTCAACCAGCTGACACCAACCGAAAAGTTTGCCCAATTATTCGAGTACGTATGGTGGGAGTGCACCTCTGACGTAGAAGAGGTAGTGAGAAAGTCCAACAATGATTGGGCTGAGTTTAAAAAGGGCATGCAGAAGACGTTTAAGTTGGGAGATGGTCTGCTCACAATTGACCATCTCTATAACATGAACAGAGATGACTTCACAACGATCAGGGCGTTCGCCAACACGTTCGAAAAGACAGCCGAGAGGGTCCCAGGACTGTCTGAAGAAATGCAGTGCGTCATATTCCTAGGGAAGTTCTCTGGGTATGAGGCGATGGAATTAACCCGAGGGGGAGCCGCCGGGAGAAAGACAACCTGGGAAACCATAAAGAGGAACATCGCGGCGGGAGACATGGACCAAATATTCCATCACCAAATCAAGGTCAAACGAAAGAAAAGAAAGACAGTAGGGACAATCCAACAAACGGATAGTGTACTTGGGGGAGTATTGAGCAATATGGCAAATGAGATAAAAGAACTCAGGGAAAGAGTGACACCATCAAGGGTATTAACAGTGACACAGCCATCAGGAAAGAGAAGGAAGGAAGAGGAAGATAGAGAGGAAGAAGCAGAAGACAGAGGACCAGAAGGAACAGGCAAACTGACCAAGTGTCAGAGAAAGGATAAAAATATCGCTATTGGAGGACAAGGATCGGGAAAAGGACAAGTAACTCAACAAGCGATAGTCCAGTATGGACAGGAGCCGTCATCAAGCACAGCGCAATATGGTCAATGACCCGTCAGTGCGCCTATGGGAGCATGGCCTGGGTACTTCCCGGTAGGGCCATGGCCTGCGCAGGGTCCATATCCCATGATACCCCAGAATCAGAATTTGGGAGGAGAACAAAACACGGGACGACTTCAACTAACAGGGCAGAACCAAGCGGGATCTTGTCGCCAAGGTGGTCAAAACCAAAACAGGTCCCAAGGACAAGGACAAGGACGTGGAAGAGGTAGGAATGGTGGTAGAAATCAGGGACCAGGGGAACGAGGAGCAGGTAACAGAGGAGGTGGAAACCAGGGTAGGAACTGGGGGCAGCCCCAAGGGGGTGCAAATCCAGTCGGGCAGGAATACCAGCAAGGGTATGGTCGTGGATACGACCAAAGCTATGGAAGGGGGTATGGTAGAGGAAACGGACAATGGAGCGGACAAGGATATGGCAGGGGGTGGACTGATTACAGAGAATGCGTCTGTACCCACTGCGCGATCAAAGGACACACGGTTAAAAGATGTCATGTTAGGAAGCTTGACAAGCGTGAAAGGCTCATAACATCAAACATGGAAGGCGAGGTGTTCGACCAAAATGGTAGGGTGATTGATCCTGAGATTCCAGGGGGCACAAGGGAAGAGGCTCTTCGTGTGGCCGCGCTTGGTCCCAACGCACCGGGGATGTTCCGAATTTGGCAGGAAAGGGAAGAACCAGTAGTGCAGGTGGAAGATATAACTGACTTGGAAGAGGAAGTGAGTAGGATGGGGATTGGAGAAGACAAAGGAGACGTGTCGCTTGTGGAAGAAGAAACAGAGGAGGAAGACGTTAGGACTAACGTCAGAGACACGTTCGATACGATGGGAGATTTGGTAGACAAAATGCAAAGGCTACATCTGAGGCTTCGAGGGATATGTGAAGAAGCGGGAAGAGAAGGGGCTGGATGCCCAAAAGTATTTACCATGGGGCACGGAGGATCAGGAGATGGGCCAAATGAACCCAACCCGAGAATGTTGAGAGCCAATATGGCCGCGAGGAACAGTGGAAGTCAGAGAAGTATGAGAGGAACGATTCCATTCGCTACAAGAAGACCCGCAACAGGGAATCCTCAAAAGGAACAAGCTAAGGCTTCCCAGCCAGCGGAAGAAGAACCACCTATCACGGTAGAGGGCGATGAAGATGAGAATGAGAAAATTAGGGAGGAAGAAGAAAGGCAGGCGGAGATAAGGGCTAAGAGAAGGAAAGACGAGGCTAAGGAAGGAAGATCAAAAGGGGATACGGGACTAAGCAAGAAGAGAAAGTACCAAACTGCGATCGAAGAAGGGGTGGATTTGGAAGGTCTGGTGAATAAACTGCTGGAAGGGCACAATGAACTACTAAACCTGAAAGAAATCCTCGCTTCGGCTCCTAAGTTAAGAGAGATGGTGAAGGCTAGGTTATCACGCCGGGGAGTAGCCTCGGTCCGGATGGGGGATTTAATTCTCAAAGAGGCAAACTGGAGCGTTGCAGGGAGCAAAATGGACTGGAAATTTGTAGGCACAGGGTCCATTGATGTTATGATAAAGGAAAAAATGTGTCCGGGGCAGAGATGAATATTATAAACGGAGAAACCGCGGTAAAACTCGGGTTGGAGGTGGATGAGAATGATTGCGGATTCCTCAACGGAGCCAGCGGCAAGACCGGATACACTGGTGTCGTATCAAATGTGGTCATAGAAATAGGAAGAGTCGAGGTACATACGTGCTTCTACGTCATGCCCAGCTTGGACCTTCCAATATTGCTGGATGTTCGTCATCTTGTGCGATCCTGCCTGTGGGAACTTCGAGGTTATCACATGTAGGAACACAGGCCCACACAGCTCGAAGAACAGGCTCAATGACGGATCCTACACGTTCGAGGAATCTGAGAATAGGAGGAGGGAACTGGAATGGGAAGAAGGAGAGGATGAGTCAGATGATGAAGAAGCCAAAGTGCTTGTATTAAGCCTGACCAATATCAGTGACGCGGTGAAACTTGTATCGGCCTATAGGATGGCTGATCCTGACGCAATCAGGGCACTCACGGAAAGGATCCAAGACGATCCGGAAGGGGGAAAGGTCGATCTCGTTTACAGACCGCCTCCTTCTTCTCAGATGATAGTACCGCATGCACCGAATGCTCAAGCTGCCGGTCAACATTTTTTAGGGGTGGGCTCAAGCAGGGCTCCAAAAGGAGGTACAAGACGGTAGATAAAAAGAGTCACCCTGTGCCAGTTCTAGTGAGTCAAGAAGAAGGGGTGTATTATGATCAGGAAAGAGAACGGATACAGCGAATGAGGGAAGGCATCCCGAATGGGCCTTGTCGTATCGACGATGAGACTGAGAAAGAACTGATAATAGGGGAACCTGACTTTCCGACAAGGCAAGAGGAGGACTTGGTAAAAGAACTGATACGTGAAAAACATGGGGCATATGCCTTCAACGATGATCAACGTGGAAGGCTGGATGTGGACAAGATAGAAATGATCCGCATTCATACTGTACCTCATGAGCCATGGAATGTCCGAGGACCTAAGTATCCCAACCCCGAGGATCGCAGAAGGGTGGTAGAGTACCTAGCAGGGTACTCCAGCGGACCATATGCCTCTCCCTGGTTCTGTTTTGTAAAGCCAAATGGGGTACTCAGATGGGTGCAAGACCTCCAACGACTGAACGCGGTAACTGTAAGGGATGCAGGAGGTTTGCCTAACGCCGACCAGTTGTCAGAAGCTTGTGCAGGTAGGTCGATTGTGTCCCTCATCGACCTCTATTCCGGATACGATCAACTTTCAGTCTATCCGGCAGACCATTCCATCACGGCGATGCACACGCCAAGGGGGTTGGTCTATATGAATGTTGCACCGCAAGGATGAACCAATATTGTGGCCATGGTACAACGGAGCATGATCAGGGTTATGCAGCCAATCGGCCCTCAGATCACTGAGCCGTACATAGATGATCTTGCAGTTAAAGGCCCGATTGAGAAGGATGAGTCAGAAGTGGCTTCAGGGGTGAGAAAGTTTGTGTGAGAACATGTTCAAGGGTTAAGAGAAGTCTTATCTCTACTAGAAGAGTACAACCTCACCGCCAGTAGAGTGAAGTCGATACATTGCGTAAAGGAGGTAACCATTCTAGGATGCATTTGCAACGAGCATGGTCGGCGCCCTGATAAGAAGAAGACCAATAAAATCCTGGAATGGCCCACTCCTTTCAGAAATGTGGGTGAAGTTCGAAGTTTCCTTGGTACCTGTGGGTTCTGGAGAAGATTCATAGAAAGGGTTGCTAGTAAAACTGAGCACCTAAGGAAGCTAGTCCGTAAGGATCAGGAATGGGAATGGGGAAACCATCAAGAAGAGGTAGTGGAAGAATTGAAGGAGTTCAGAGAGGGAGGTCTGGTACTAGGAGTACCGGGCTTTGATGCGACTATGGAAAGACCCTTCATAGTTGAAACTGACGCTGGACCAACCGCCCTGGGAGGCGTCCTGATCCAGACAGACAATGAAGGAAAGGAGAGGCCGCTGAGGTTTGAAAGTCGAACACTCAACTCAACAGAAAGGAACTACTCGCAATTCAAAAGAGAAGCCTTGGCGGTTCTGCATTGCCTAAGGATCTTTAGGCATTACCTCTTTGGAAGAAGGTTTGTACTCAGGATCGATCCTACGGCACTTGTGTACTCGCTCAAGAATTTCTCGCCCTCAGAACCAGCCATAACCAAATGGCTCACCTATATCTGGATGTTCGACTTCCAGTTAGAATGGATCCGTGGGAACAAAAACAGGGCGGATGGCATGAGCAAAATTGAGTGGGGAAATCAGGAAGAATCCAATGAAGAAACGCCTCCAGTAGACGGGGTTTTGGACGAAGAGGAAGACATGCGAACTCACGTGAACTGTTGGTTCATGTTTGTCGAGAGTAAGGAAATGAGGAGAGGAAATCCGATGTGGCATCCGCCTCCCGAATTTATGAGAGAACCTTCCCTGATACTCACACCATTAGAGGAGGAGGACTCTTTGGGCGAGAGAAATATGGAATGAATGATGGAGTTGGCTCTGACAGAGAATTATAGGATAATGGATGAGCCGCTAATGATCGAAGCAGGAGTCCAACAAGCAGACGAGCAGGTAGCCATGATGGGAAGAATGTACTACCTGACAAATACGTTGTTGCAAGTCCAAGCGAATGATGAAAGAGGAATAGTAAAGGCCGATGAAATAGTTATTGGGGATGATTACGAGTTCGATAAAGAGAAGGAAAGAGAGTTCGAACATCAAGGAAGTAGGGGCGGTTGTTCACCTGAATCTACTAGCTATGCCGCTAGGTCTTGGAGGATATAACTATATATTCGACGCAAGGGACAACCTTACTGGATTCGTTGATGGCAGGGCGATCAGGAACAAGACCGGGACAACGATGGCAGATTGCATTAAAGAGTATTATCTCAGATATCCGTTCGTATTGGAGTTTACAATCAACAGGGGGTCTTAGTTCACGTGTGGGAAAGTGAAGGAGCTGCTCAAGGAATTGGGGGTCACAGGTAATTATACGACTCGGATACATCCACAAGCGAATGCAGCGGTTGAGAGAGGCCATAACACAATTACTAACTTATTGGCTAAATGGACCAGTGGGAAGCCGAACCTCTGGTCAAAGTTCCTAAGAACAGTGTTCTTTGTGGAGAACATCACTGTAAAGAGAACGACAGGGTATGCACCTGCGACGCTCAGGTATGGGCGTCACGCCACATTTCCTATTGAAAGCTTCCTGAAAACTTAGCGCAGGCAGGATTTGGAGAACAACTTGACTTTGGAGGAACTGCCAGATCTATGGGCAAGGCAGATCAGCGCCACTGAAGAAAGGGTGCAGGAAGCAGCCATGAACGTTGCAGATAGCAGAGGAAAGGATAAAGAAAGGTGGGACAAGCTACCTAGAGTAAGACTCGAACCTCTACAAGTTGGCGAGACAGTACTACTCTACGATTCCTCTCTCGAAATACAGTGGTCGCGAAAATTGGACAAACGGTGGCTAGGACCATTCAAAGTCGGGAAGCAGGGATTTCATGGGGCATATGAGCTAAGAGAGATGGATGAGACTCCAAGGAAGGACTGGGTCTCAGAATCTAGACTGAAGAAGTTCCGAGTCAGAGAAGAGGTAAGCTCAGCTACGATGCGAAAGCTTGAATAGATTGGAAAGGTATGTTAGGCATGCATATGTGTATCAGTTTCTATGCAGGAATGTACCCAATTGCCCAAGATTAGGCTCATACATATATGGATACATACATGCATATATATATATATGTGTGTGTGTGTGTGTGTATGTGTACATACATGGGTGCAAAGGGGGTACAAGTGGGGATATATGTGTATATACGTTCATGTATGTATATATGTATATATATATATATGTGTATATGTGCATGTATGTAAGTACCTGATAAAGGAGGGCATTGTCAATTTGTGTTTAACAAGGAATGTTGCCTTGATGATAATCTGACCCTCGTCCCTTGCCATTTGCTCTTTCTCTATATGCAGGCGTGACCCCTGGAAAGAAGAGGCCATGGCGCAGAGAGGAGCAGTGGCAGGGCCCTCTGGACCTGCCTTGAGAGAGGGACGGCAGAGGAGGGATCAGAGAATCTCAAGGAACCTGGAGGAGTTGCCCATTTACAGGGTTGGGGACAGCCTGCGAGTATTCCTGCGAGACCTTGAAGAATATGCAGTCAGGAGAGAATGGGGTGACAGGGAGAAAATTGCAAATGTGAGTGGTGCAGGAATGTGCAAGAGGAGGATTGAAGGAGTGGTGACAGGGTGCACGAGGTGGAAAGTATGCAAGGAGAGGTTATGGAAGGAAATGGGGGTCTTCCCAAGAGACGATGTGGAGGATGACTTAAGGTTTGATGGAACCAATCTGGAAGAATTTTTCGAGAGTTTGCAGCTGGCCGCAGAGAGAGGCGAATGGAACAAGGAGGAAAGGAAGAAACAACTGATCGCAAGATCAAAAGAGAGTGAAAAGGAGGAAGTTAAAGGAATTGTGAAAGGGAGCCGAACCTGGAAGAGAATAACAGCAGAATTGTGGATAGCCTACACGCAGGTCAGGCAAGATCAAACAAGAAAAGAAAGGCTGCAAGAGAAGGGGCTATGGATCGGAAGAGACGTGGCTGAGCCACAGGGGAAGGAGGCAAAAGTTGAAGAAGAGGATAACGTGCCTCTGAAGAGATTGAAGAACAAGACAAGAGTCTCCCCCAAAAGCAGCAGCAAGGGATCTGAGCAGGCTGAGGGAGATGAACAGGAAGAGGAGGAGGCAGCAGAGGAGAAGAAAAGAAGCATAGGAGCAAGTATGGTGCCAAGAAAGAAGAAACTTGGAAAGAAAATGACAATTGAGAGTGGAAGGGAAGAGGTACAAGAAAGGAGGAGTGAAAAAGGGGGAGGAGTGAAGGAAGCTAGAGAAGGGAAGAATGTCCAGGAAGGAGGCAAGACTCCCAAGGTCAAGAAGACTGAGGAAAAATGGTCGATTGGGAACAGAGAAAGGAAAGAGACAAGTGGGATAAGAAAGAAGGAAGATGAGAGGAATGCCCAGGTGAAAAAATTGATGAGAGATATGGAAGAGATGAAGGAGGAAATGAAGGGATTGAAGAAATTGAAAGAGAAATTACAGAAAGAAGTGAGTCAATTGAGGGCCGCCCTGACTATGAGCGACAAAAAAATGGAGAATGAAGCGGCCACGATAGGAAGGATGGAGATAAGGATGGATGGTCTGGGTTCTGAGATCAGTGTGTTAGGCAGGACTTGGACAATGAAATCTCAGAAAGGAAGAAGTTGGGACAAGAGTGGAAGAAAAGATGGGGAGAGATATTGAAAGGAATGGAGAGACTCAGATTGAGCCAACAGGGGAAAGAGAAGGAAGCCACAAAGATGGTGGGAAGAAAAGGGGGTGAAGAGAAGGGGGTACAAACTGAGGAGAAGAGAAAAAGCCTCATGCACCAGAAAATGAAGTAAGTGAGAGTGTGGCCATGCCTCTGCCAGGACAGGGAAAGAGGCAAAGGGAATCCCAATTGGACTCACCAAAGGAGGCTGAGGATCAGGCTGAGACTTCAATCCAGCCAGACATAAAGAGAACCAAGCCCAACATGGTTGGACAGAGGAGTTTCTTCTGCACTCAGGAAGGGCACCTCAGGGATGAGTGTTCCATTCTAGCAGTTTATATCAAGGAAGGAAAAGCCAAATATGATAGTCATAAGAGATTGGTGGCCGACACAGGGCAGACCATTCCCAGGATACCTAAGGGAGGCAGGGTAGCACTTCACAGGATACTGGGACTGCCAGTTGATTTCTAGGTAGGAATAGGTAGATGTTTTGAGTAAACTATGACTTGAATTGGCTTAAAGACAGTTATGAGAGGGGGAAAGGTATAAATTAGAGCAAGTTGGACATGAGAACAGGAGTATGACAAGTTGCGAGGAGACTTGGCATAGGAAGTAGTATAGGAAATGACATGAGAGGTATTTTAGGGATAGTAGAGTGGAGTAGTGATCTGACTCTGTAACATACTTGTATTTATATATATCATTCAAGGGGATGAGCTGGTGGACACGACGCACTTGTCACATTGTGTGTGGACCTTTGTCTTTGGTTGAGTCTCTGGTAACCTAAGATTTCCCTTCATCTATCACTACTAAGACTCTGTTGAGATCTAAAGAGGTGATAGAGGAATGGGCGGATTTGTATCTCATGTGAAAGTTTGATGAGTTTGTGAAACTTCAAAAGCTGGATTGATTGTACATTTCTTGATTGAAATCATGCTACGAGATGAGGAGACTCCTTGAGTCTTATCAATTCTGCTGCAGAAATTCTTTGGCAATCTCTATGAAAGTGATGTTTTATTTTTTTGGATTCTGACAAGCAAAGAGTCAATAAAAGTTTATTTTAAAAATAATGGTGTTATATATATATATATATATATATATATATATATATATATATATATATATATATAAATAATGGTTATAAAATGACCCCGAGGTGCGTGCCTCACCGAGCTATGATCAAAGACTTGGAGGGCACAACCCTTAGTGGTAGCTTGACGAATGCTCAATTTATTATCTTATTTATTTGGTTTATTTAAGAAGCATCGTTCATTCACCCTAAGGGTTAACCTGAGGGCATAAATTACCAAGCCTATGGTGAAAAATTGGCATCATTGGAACGTAACTCCCAGCGTGGGTTGTTGACCTAGCATAACCAGGCAGCGAACCCTTCGACTATGGCCTCGAAGAGAAACTAAAGGGGAAACCTCCCCAATGAAGGGATCTATTCAGGTGGATGTCGAAGGGGTCAAGATTATAAAAATTATTAAGATATGATGAATATCCACTCGCTCCACAACCAACGAGGGTAACCACCGATAAGCAACAACGCTGCGGGCCGCAGCTCCGGTCTGATTAGCAGGATTATGGTGGGTCAGGATGGAGACCGTTGTCCTCCTGTATTAGGCTTCGGGCAGGACGACAGGCAACTTTGGATTGTGATATCGAGAGTTGAACACCCAAGGTCTCGGTTGGGACCCGCGTTTGACGGGTTGAGTTCGTACGCGAACACCGACCCTGAAAACAACCAACGAATACCTGGACCAAAGACTAAGGGTGTGGGGGAAAGAAAGGTGCGTTGTCATGCTTAACTATTTCATTTACTGTAGTACAGATCAAGTATCCCCACTTTCAGTCGTTATATTTTATGTGGGAGACCCGGGTTAAATCCCGGCAGTAATAATGAAAAGTAAGGTGACGGCGTCAATCCTGAAACCACATTTCATTCCAGGATTCGGATTTGATGAATTGCTTGTCGGAAAACACCTTTATGTGCAGATAATTCTCTGAGCGACGGGAACGTCACTTAATGAGGTCTTGGATACTATCGGACAAAATACCCTTACTTGTCTTTGCATTTGGCAAGATGGCGACGTCAGCCACCATGACGTAGTTAGTCTAGGACGAGAGAGGTGTGCACGCTTGGCGTAACGCTGGAAGCGAAATCCTCGGCCACTGAGGCCGGGGCAAAAATCGGTGAGAAAAATTCGTTAAGTATGTGCGCGCGTTACTATAACGCGCGCCGTGGTGATTATGATCGGTAGTAATGCCCCTCGACGGAAGAGGTCGAAGGGTCAGTTGGACTAATAATTGTGTAAGGTAGGTCTATAACACGTACTGAGAACTGGTCCAGTGCCTGTCTTCCCTCCGGTACTGGGGGTTCTGAAAATTTCGGTCTTTGTCTTCCCCTACTCAGCCTCCGGGTCGAGTATCCGCCGCATCTACGTCTGCTTGGTGGGGTACAAGTCTACCCGCCACTTGAGTAATTACCCCGCTGCGACCCTTGATGCCGCAGCCATGGCTGAGTACCGGCCTTCGAGCCGTCCGATGAAATAAGTGTCCTTGAGGGCGATAAGTGTCCTTGAGGGCGCGCGCATACTCAAATCAACAAGCCTAAGGACAAACGCACTAACTGGCAAGCGTGCACAAGCACGCAGACTAAGAAGGTCAATCCTACTACACCTACTTATAGGGAGGCGACTCTTTACCATATTGTGGTAAGAGCTAGTCCAGTAGGTAGAGGAACAGAGTGATGAGCTAGGGACGCTGGGATCGAATCCGACGTGGACCTATTTTTTTATCAACTCGTAGACAGGCGGGACTCGAACCCGCAACCTCACATACAGAAGTTAGTAAGGTTAGCACGTTGGTTAGAGCCAAGTGTAGGAGTCGGACACCTGGTAAGGTAGGGGGAACTGTAGGCGGATTTTCGTTAGATTTGTTAGTTCAGTTCCTTTATTTTAATTTAATTATTCTTATTTTCCTTGTTTTACTCTTGTTACCTTTTTTCAACGGGCTATCTGCCCGAGGGTGCTCAAATGAACCCCGCCCTTTACTGGGGGCAGATTCATTTAGGAGAAGGACGCCTCGACTGCGACCCGGTCAGGACTCGCCGTGGGAAGGGCAGCACAAGCAGAAGGGCAGGGCGATACTCGTCGAGAAAGGTAGAGGAGGGCACTGTATGAGCTACGCAAAGGAAAGGTGAAGGAAGGCGCACAAGAATGGCGATCGTAAGAGAAGACGAGAAGAAACCACCCGAAGAAAGGAGAGAGAAGGAAAATACTTACCTGAGTGATCGACGGGATGGTGATGACCCGAGTGTGAGTCGTGAACGGAAGGCATAGTGGCTTTGTATTGCCTTCGAACGTACACCCACAACAGCTCGTATCGGTTGTGAGTCTCCTCGGATTAAGGAGAAGGTGACAGCGAGAGAGGAAAGGAGAAAAAGGGGGGAGGGTAGAAGGAAGAAGTAGGAGAAGAAATGGGCGTGAGTCCGTGTGAGGAAAGAAGGAGGAGATAAGAAGTGGAAGGGAAAGGCTTACCTGGTCGGAGGACGACAACGGGCTGCCGAAGACGACGGTAACGACGACAACGACGAAGCAAGAGACTGACAACCGGTAAGTCTCCGGTCTCACGGCTCACCCCGACATTATCAACAACAAAAAAAAGCAAATTAAATGAATAAAATAAATAAACAAATAAATAAATAAGTGAATGAATCTACCGCGAGAAATGGGAAAGGTGCAATCACTTCTAGTGTGTGTGTATGTGTGTGAGTAAACCACGAAGACTTCCCGCTACTTCTATCGAGTAGGATGGGAAAAATCAAAGGAACCTACCCCTAGAATATAGAAATATACATTACTACTACTACGTACGTGAGTAGACATGGGTAAGAGTGTGTATGAGAGAGAGAGGGAGACTATAAGTCTCCAACTTTGGCCAACAACTAAGTCTCCGCCCCTCGCTGCGCGCTACTTGGAGCGATTGCGCAAAATCAAAACGTGACATTGTATATTTCCACGTTTCAGCGGAAGATTCGTTCTGTTTTGCTCATCCTGCCGACGAAGTGTGTGTATGTGATCGATCATTATCGGTGGAAATTGTGTGTGGGAGAGAGATGTGAGAGACAGAAGGAGAGAGAGATTGGGCGGAGACTAGAGGTACTTACCCGTAGCGTCGTTACTCCAACTATATCTTCGAGGTACCAGCAGCATGAGCCAACAGCCCAGATAAGTACTTGGCTCGAAACGGAGAAGAGGAGAGAGAGGAGTCGAAGGGAGGAGGGGGAGAGGAGGTGGAGAAGGGATAGAGAGAAAGAAATAAAAGGGATTGTAAAAAGAAAAATGTAAGGGATAGAGAGAAAGTAAACTCTACGATCGCCCGTTGGCACGACAGGAAGGTCGTCGGGACCGCGGTTGCCTTCGCGCAGCCTCTTTCTACGGATGAGCAAGACCGATCGGATCGCCCGCTGCAACGTTGAACGATTCACTACTACAAATGTGTGTGTGTGTGTGTGTGTGTGTGTGTGTGTGTGTGTGTGTGTGTGTGTGTGTGTGTGTGCGTGCGTGCGAGAGAGAGAGGGAGAAATAGAGAGCTCTTCAACTTCCTTTCCTAAGTCCAACATCGCCTCCTCACCCTCTCACTACCTGACATCCTTGCATCTATAAACGAAGAAAGAGAAAAGTGAGAGAGAGAGAGGATGAATGCACACATAGGGAGGATGCAAGAAGGGGGGGGAGTGTTACGTACCTAAGCCGCACACACGCTACACCGACGAATCCCACGAGTTGCTTGC